GAAGCCTATGTATTGCTAAACTTGCGAACGTGCATGTTCCACGTTCCACACAGAGTTTAAATATTTCAATATTTGTTTTTAAAAATTGACATATGAGTATGAGTATGAGTGAGTATAAGAACGTATGGCAGGCCCCATCGGCTACGCCTTACACAGTGTAGATGGTAAAGGCCATTACCTGAATTTTGTCACCGGGCCGACCATACGCCCGATTTAGGCTAGTGGAGTGTAGGACAAGGAGGGACAACAGTTGGTTTTTGGGGGCCTTGAACTGACCCAAAACTAAGTACAATCCGGACTCCCCCTCAACCAGGGTATTAGTAATGACCCCATTCTTGGACATCTTTGCTGGTCTTGTATTTCACCCGGGTCTGTCCGGCCTGCTGGAATTCGGAATCTGCTGCACGCAGTTGTTTTTACTTTCCCCACACTCTCAGAAACACTTTAAATGACTCGTTATGAGTTATTGACTCTTTGTCCCAGCGGAAAGGCAGTCGCTAATGGTTATATTAGACAAATTTTGGACAGAGAAAAAAAGGGCTAATTTTGTCGAATAATACTTTTTTTTACGTTTACCCATAAGATCTTATGTTTGAACGTAAAACGTAAAAATTACGGCTACTCATTATAAACAGGCACACTGGTTTTGTTAATATTCAACTTTACGTTTTACGTATTTCTTACGGACATCTTATGGTTACGTCCATTATGAATGAGCACTTACACAAGTACGAACCCAAAAACCTTTCCAGTCTGTGTGGGCAGCTTTAGATGCCTGCTCGGAATAACTTTCTAAGCCATCTCTGTGCGTTTGTAAAAATTCGGAAACTTAATAGATAATGGTATAAATTTTGGGAGTTATTCTAATATTTATATCAACAAAATCCATTGCTAAATTATTTATTTGGTAAAAATATTTTTTATTTATCTTTTATCACCAAAACACGTATTTACAACCTTTTCTAAACTTGAAACTCATTTGGTTTTCATGTAGTCAATATTTTTTAATTTTAATTTAAGATTTCCATTACCATTAAAAGACCATCCTTTTGTTAATTGTTTTTGAAGATTACACTTTTTAACCAATATATTTGTTTTGTTGGGAAATTTTATATGTAGTATTACGTAGTATTATGTAGTAATTTAAAAATTGTTGTAACTTCATCCATTGAAAGATGCAGTTTAGAAGTCATTTGTATCATAAATGTTTGGTAAATTACAACGGTTTGGGTAAAAATTTTTCCTTATTACCATTTCCTTAGATACATTTTTAATAAAGGAAACATATGTATACTTTTAAGAATTAAATTAAAACTTTATCGCATATTGTAAAAAATGATACCTATAAAAAGTAGCAAAAATCATTTTTTAATAAAATTAAATAATCTTTAAACTGATAACTAAATAAATAAACTCAAAAGTTTTAAATGAAAAGTTAAAAGAATACATAATATTAAAATTAAAAATCTAATTAAAAAAACAAATCCTGGGATTTTTTAATTTGGCTTTTAAATTCGTTAAAAAAAAGTTTTACAGAAAGTATAAAAATCACAGCTACGAATTAGGCCAGTTAAAACTAATAAAATCAGTATGGATGAGTTCCTTATAAAACTGCAAATCTACAGAAAAAAATATAAAATAATAATATTAAAAATAAAAAAAAATCCCAAATCAAAAATAACTAAAATTCTTAAACAACATGTTTCCTACAGGAAAACCATAATTTATAAAATTAATAATACCTGGGTTGGGTTTTCTTAATTAAAAAATAATCAAAATAATTTAAAAAATTAGAATTCATTAAAATTTTTTATTATTTTTTGTATTCTTTTAACTGTAACTACATTCAGAAAAACTCCTGATCCTTACTTAAAAAATTAAATGGCTTTACTTAATTAAAAATGGGTGATGTCATATGTATGTGATGAAATCTACAAATTGGCCTGATTTAATGCGGATCATTTAAAAACATATTCAAAAGATGAAAGTATATGAAAATTAAAGGCCTAAATCAAGCTTTAGAGTTCCAATTAACGTGCCAGATGAGCTTTATCACGCTTTTCGTTTATAAGCTTATTATTAACGATATGTAAACTTATAACAAAAGTGGGGACGGGCATTTTACTTATGCAAATTAATTACCTTCCTGCTACTTCAATTTTAATTTTTATTCCGCGCTTTCATGATTTTACTTTTGAAACTGTGTCAGATGCAGCAAATTGGATAATATTTTTGCATTAACGTAGCCTAGGGTAAGAATAATTTTGTTATGTTATATTCTGACCTGGTTCCAGGTGGCAACAGTATATGAACATATTACATATATGTATATATGTAAATATTAAAATAAATATTCATGTATTGTATTATAATGCCATAAATTAAAATATGAATTTGGACCACGTCTGTCATTTAATTAATGAAGCTGCGGGCAACGTCCGAATGCTATGGTTAAATAGCTCGTTTATATGAATATAATGGCCCGATGCATAATTTGTTGAAAAACTATAAACTGTTTTAATGCACTTGCCGTGTATCACCGGCATTACAACTACATCATCTGGCCAACGTGGCTCGCGTTAATGCTGAAGCCGCTTGTATTATTTATAACTTAATTTTGGTGAAATATTACATTTGAAGCAGCCGACATAAACTTCAGCTATTCGGGAAACAAATCAAATCTTTTTAGCAGACAGCCAGTGGCGTGCAGTGCCATTTAAAATGGAGTATGCAACAGATTTTAAAATTTCTTTCTTTGCCAAAGAGTAGATAAGCATGGTCAACAATACATTTTATTTTTGTAATTGTCATATTTTTTTAATTGTCATAGATTTTTTTTTATTAAAATATCAAGAAGTTATATTTTGTGCTTCACGATTTTTAAGTGCGGGGTAAATCTAATAATCTTAATAACATTTTGTTTTTCGGTAAATGTCATACACTGTAAAAAATCCCATTGAGTAACTGTTTTTGGTACACGGAGAGAAAAGTATAATGCTGATTACCATAATTATAATACCCTTTACTATAATTTATATTACTATTTGGGACAACTATCTTGTATATTGCCAGATACTATGCATATTTAGTAATTTTTAAATATCCATGTTTGTTAAACCTTAAGGTAAAATATTATTATTCTCAACCAATTTTGTTTTTAATTCTTATTATAATTAGATTTTTTCCATTACTAATGTATAGTAAATTTTAAAATATTAGGTTGCCATTTTAAATATAAAATATTTTAAAATCGAATATTTTTATATGTTAGCAATTAAAAATTGTAACATATTTATTGTACTTTTTAATATAAAAAATGTTATGAGAAAGAGTTGAACCTACACCTCGCCAAAGTTTTTTGTTTTGAGTGCGTTCCATCAACTTCAAATACCGACAGTCAAGAAAGTTTATTGAAGAAACTAAGAAAATTAAATGTTTAAAATGGCATGAGTTACTATATTGTATATTATATTTAAATATATTGTTTATTTACCTTAAACTTAAAAGTATCTTTATTTTTACTATATTTTTTATTAATGTGTAATATATTATATTAGATGTATACCTTACATTTGATTAAATCATATAGTAAATATTACTATTTGTAGATAGTAAAATCAATTTACTATACGAACATATTAAAAATTAAAATAAATATTATACATTTATGATTTACGTAGTAATATTGGTGTTGTAATCTTTACTAAAATTGTATAATAAAAAATAGTATTTTGTATTACAATCTGAATATTGTATTGACGAATATATAATATTGTTAACCTAAAAATTTGTTAAAGTAAATTTTACTATATTTTTTTTACTATCTAAAATTTACTATACATTTCTCTCCGTGTAAATAACCCGTAATGAGTTTATTTATATGTAGAAAGAAATATAATCAAATAACGCGATAAAAGTACTTATTTTCGACTTAAAGTCAACTCGTATGTAAATGTAGATCACCTCAAAAGAGTTAAAATCAAATCATTGAAGAATTCTAAAAATTGTAAATTAACTAAAAAATTACCCAAATTGACTTATTAAAGAGAAATATAAATATATAAATTAATGTTCTAAATAATTCATAATGAGTTACTAGTTACTCAAGACAAACCCAATATTCACATTTACCTGAATCTAACCCAAAGTTTTGATGGTTTTTTTTACTCATAAAATTTAGATCTCGCTCACGTATATTGAGTAAAAAATTACTTACATAATAAAAAGTACTAAAACTATTCTCAAAATCTTTCTAACCAACAAAACTAACTCACAATTACAAACAAAACAATATTTTCTTGTACTAGGTACTAAACTAACTAAACTTTCAAAACAGTAATTAAATTCGGGGCGCGTGAAATCCAAATCTCACTCTCTAAAAATGAATTACTCAAAAATTACTAATTTAATAGTTATTACTAATAACTATTAAAGTAGTAACTTATTAGTGGCTGCTTTTTCACTTGTACCATGGTTAACCATGGAATACCATGGTATCACAAAATTTAACAGCCACTTCTTATGTAAAATTGTCCCCTGAATCCGAAAATACCGTCAAAAATTATAAAAGTTGAGCAGTTTTTGAGATATAGTCAATTCCATATTAAATGGAAAATAGACTATATCTTAAAAACTGTTTTACTTTTTTAACTTTTGATGACATTTTCGGATTCAAGGGACAATTTTACATAAGAATTGGCTGTTAAATTTTGGGATACCATGGTATTCCATGGTTAACCATGGCACAAGTGAAAAAGCAGCCACTAATAACTATTAAATTAGTAATTATAAGTTGTCCCCGTTTCGCAAATAATTAAAGATTTGTTGTAGTACCTCCCTGTAACTGCTCGAGGCCACTTATTTTTAAAGTCCAAAAAACGCTCTTCCCCTTCTTCCGTCCACCAACGGGCAGCCGTAGCCACTCCGTAGTCATTCTTTCTTTAAGTGCGCGAGAGGTCACATCGCTCGCTTACTAGAACTTGTATAAAGTGTGTGCCACTATGGAAAGAAAACGCCCTTGTGAATATCTTAATGATTTTGTAAAGAAAAGACGAAATCAAACGAAAATACCTGGAGTAGTGGACAGATGGACAGATAAAAGGATTCTCGCCGGCAGGTTATGCCCCGATGAAGCATCTGAAGCAGATACCACATCAGATAGGTGCTCAACACCGGATTGTGATTTTGAACAAGGTAAATTTGTTGTGTTTTCTCTTGTTTTTTACCTCTTTCAATGTAATATTACATTGTTTAGAGAAGAGATTTTGAGGTATGTACGTATGTACAAAAGATGGCTTCCCTTTTTACACATAGTATTATGTTGTTAAAAGATGAAAATCCTCATATCTAAACTGAATAATATTATTCAGTATAATAAATACCTGTGTAGGTATAGGATCTATAAAACTAGCAAACATGTACATGTTTTTAAAGAGTTTTATAGCATGCTTTTATTTTTCTGCTGATATTTATGATTTGACTGTACCTTATGGAAAGATACGCGTCACCGATGTACGATTCAATCTCAGACGTACTGTTTATAAAAATATTTCTATACAGGACCGTACGCAAGAAATGTTTTTTGACATTTTTGTATTAATTATTTTTGTATAAAACTAAAACTAATTGCTAAAATAATATTTAGACAACAATACTGTTTTCTATACAGGACCGTACGCAAAAAATTATTAAGACCTTTTTATATTATTATTTTTTGTATAAAAATAATAATAATAATAATTCCTTAAAATAATATTTAGACAACAACATTGTATATTGTTAATTTGTCTTTCTAGATGAAAATGCAGATCCCAACGATGGATCTGTGAACATTCCCTTGCCAAAAAGTATTTTGGAGATTATTGGACGCAATAAAGAAGAAAATACAAAAGTGTCTTGTTCCTTGAGGAAAGAAATTGCAGATACCTGGTCAGGAATTATTAAAGAAGGACTTAAAGACGCTGAAAAAGCCGATATTATGAAAAATTATCTTCCTCCAGATCACTTTAAGGAATTAAGAGGTCCAAAACTTAACTTAGAGGTAGCAGCTGCGGTGAATGAATCAACTCTCAATAGAGACAATCGTTTATTAAAAACTCAAGCACAGATGGGACATGGCCTGGCCGCAATGGGCGAGGCATTTTCTCTACTTCTTGAAAAGGGGGATAAAGCAGATGTTAGAGTCATACAGTGCCTTAGCGACGCCGGTAAGCTTATAGCAGACTTGTTTTATTCCCAATCCTCTACAAGAAGGGAATTAGTCTCTTTGAATTTAAAAAAAGAGATGAAAACAACATTAAATAATGCAGAAGTAGGTGATTGGCTTTTTGGTGAAAAGCTAGACGAAAGAGTTAAGACATCTAAAAATATAGAAAAACTTAGTGACGAGTTAAAATTGACCAAACCCAAGACGCTTTTAAAAAAGAATTTAAACTTGAAAAGCCAGTCTCAAATACTAAAGGCTCGCCGAGACTGGCGTCAGACCAACCAACAACGAGCTTCACCCTTCCAACCAAGAAACCGTCGCAAAGAGAAGCCCGAATTTTACAAGAGGAACCAGAACCAGAAGAAATTTTACAGGAATCAATAAGTGTAAGTAGATCAGCAGGCAGATTATCTCTTTTTTATAAAGAATGGAAGAATTTCACAGACAATAAAACTGTTTTGTCTTGGATTAAAGGAATAAAAATTCCTTTTGCTGAAAAACCAATCCAAATAAATATTAATGTTGAACCTAAGTGGTCCTCTAAGGAGCTTAGGGACTTGGAAAATTCCTTGTCTGATTTAATTTTGGTAGGAGCAGTATCCTCTGTTTCAGAGTGTAAAAATCAATTTATCTCGAACATTTTTTTGGTACCTAAACCAGATGGTAGCAATCGTTTAATTTTAAATCTCAAAGAGTTAAATAAATTTGTAGAGTATAATCATTTTAAATTGGAAGATTATAAAATTGCTAAAAATCTAATTGAAAGAAATAATTTTTTAGCAAATTTAGACCTTAAGGATGCATATTTTTTGCTATCTATCAGAGAGTGTGATAGAAAATTTTTAAGATTCAAATTTAAGGGCAAACTATTTCAATTCAATTGTCTACCTTTTGGTTTGAGTTGTGCTCCATTCATTTTTACCAAAGTAATGCGAGTTGTATTAGCTCATTTACGAGAAAGAGGTTTTTCTTCAGTATCCTATCTTGACGATTTTTTACTATTAGGCAATTCTTTTAAAGAGTGTAATAATAATATAGTGTACACTATTAAAATCCTTGAATCCTTAGGTCTTATTATAAATTATAAAAAGAGCACATTAACTCCTAGTCAGGAGTGCAGATTTTTGGGGTTTATTTATAATACAAAAACAATGAAGGTGTCCCTTCCACCAGAAAAACGGTTAAAAATTTATAAATTGGTTAACAAAATTTCTAGCGTTAAAACATGCAAAATTAGAGAATTTGCAACTTTTTTAGGCACTTTAGTTTCAGTTTATCCAGCTGTTAAATATGGCTGGTTGCATACAAAGTTTTTTGAAAGAGCTAAATTTTTAGCGTTAAGACAATTTAAAGATAATTACGATGCTATAATGTATATTCCTGTTAGTCTAAAAGTAGATTTTCAGTGGTGGTATAGTAAAATTTTGACAGCTTATAATGATATAGGGATTTTAGAATATTCTTTAGAAATATTTTCAGACTCATCTACAACCGGTTGGGGGGTTTGTTGCGGAAAAAGAAAAACACATGGTTTCTGGTCTAGGGAGGAACAACAAGAGCATATAAATTTTTTGGAATTAAAAGCAGCCTTATTTGGCTTAAGATGCTTTGCAGAACACTTACAAAATAAAAATATACTCTGTCGTATAGATAATACAACGGCAATAGCCTACATAAATAGAATGGGCAGTGTTCAGTATCCAAAATTAAACAGCTTAGCGCGGGAAATTTGGAATTGGTGCGAATCAAAAAACATTTTTATTTTTGCTTCATATATTAAATCTAAAGATAATGCTCAAGCAGATCAGGAATCTCGTAGATCTTTGTCAAAAGAAACGGAGTCGGAGTTGGGAGATTATGCCTTTAAAGAAATAGTAAACATGTTTGGTTCTCCAGCTATTGATCTGTTTGCCTCAAGATTAAATAAAAAATGTAAGATTTTTGTTTCTTGGTTAAAAGACCCAGAATCTATTCAAGTAGATGCGTTTACTATTAAGTGGACTCATCTGTATTTTTATGCATTCCCTCCGTTTTCTTTAATATTAAAGGTTTTACAAAAAATTAAAAAAGACAGGGCTAAGGGAATTCTTGTTGTTCCTTTTTGGCCTGCACAGCCATGGTTTCCACTTTTTAAATCTATGTTAATAAAAGAACCACTGATTTTCTATCCTAATGTTGATCTCCTGGTTTTTCCTGACAGGAAACCCCATCCACTTTGGAGGACAACTACCCTGGTGGCAGGAGTCTTATCCTTCAGGGGTTAAGAAAAAATAACATCCCGGAATCATCTTTAAAAATCTGCTTAGCATCAATCTCAGAGTCAACATTGGTACAGTACAATAGTGGTCTTAAAAAATGGTGGCTATTTTGTAAAGAAAATAAGGTCCAGGTTTTTGAAAGCACACCTTACCTAGTTTTACGGTTTTTATCCATTGAGTTTGAAAGGGGAATATCCCACGGAACATTAAATTCATATAGGTCCGCTCTGGCTCAAATTTTGAATTTTGACGTAGGTGCTGATCCAAAGATTAAAAGGTTTTTTAAAGGAGTAGGTAACATTCGTCCCAATCCTCCCAAATATAGTAATATTTGGGATCCAGCAATAGTCTTAGATTATCTGTCTAAAAAAGAAAACGAAACTATTTCAATAGAAAAATTAGGAAAAAAGTTGACTACGTTGTTAGCATTGGCAACCGCACAACGGGTGCAAACTCTCTCAAATATTGAAATTGAAAATATATTGACCCTTCAGGAAAAAATAGAAATTAAGATTCCGTTAAAAATAAAGACATCAGGTAGAAATAGATATCAACCCACGTTGGTCCTTCCTTTTTTCGATAAACGCCCGTCAATTTGTGTAGCAAAAACCCTTTTAATCTACTTAGAAAAAACCAAAAATGTTAGAGATAAGAATGCCCAGAGGCTTCTAATCACTTTTAAGAAACCTTATCATAATGCATCATCACAGACATTGAGTAGATGGATTAAGGAAACATTGACTGAAAGTGGTATAAATACAAACATTTTTTCCGCTCACAGTACCAGGCATGCAGCTACGTCAACTGCAGCCAGGAAAGGCATTAGTATAAACACAATAAAAACACACCAATAAATACATTGGAAAACATTGGAAAACCTTGCAGGCGCTGTATTAAGTTCTAGTTAGGAAACTTTGTGTTATAATTATCCAAGTTCAATAAATGTTGTTCGTTCTTTAAACAACTACAACAAATCTTTAATTATTTGCGAAACGGGGACAACTTATAATCTATGGATCAAACGAACTTACCAAAGTGAAGTTCGATCCTGATTATGAGTTGTCCCCGTTGAAGCAAATAATTCCCACCCTACCCAACCCTTTAGAACAACATTGAAATCTTTAAAGAAAATGACTACGGAGTGGCTACGGCTGCCCGTTGGTGGACGGAAGAAGGGGAAGAGCGTTTTTTGGACTTTAAAAATAAGTGGCCTCGAGCAGTTACAGGGAGGTACTACAACAAATCTTTAATTATTTGCTTCAACGGGGACAACTCATAATCAGGATCGAACTTCACTTTGGTAAGTTCGTTTGATCCATAGATTTTTGACTAATTAATTTTTAGAGAGTAGGGACCCTTATGAAGGGTCTATAGTTAACTCTTTATTAAATACTAAATATAATCGAATCGCCGACAAATAACACAGTCTTAATGCTTAATCTTGAGTAATTTAAGTGCAATGGGCCCGAATATTAAAAACAACAATAAGAATTTAACAATTATCAAGAACGAATAAAAATCATCGAAATATAATCATTTCGAAATATCTACGAAGAGTCTACACTTTTGCGAAGAAAAGAAGATAAATATCAAAAAGATAAAAATAGTAGCACCGAGTACATTTTTTATTTATTTATTTGTAAACCAGTGTTATTACACACACGATTTTAAAACCATTTGGAATTCGAAGAAAGACCAAGTTGCAGATTCAGGTTTATTAAATAATTAAAGATGTCAAAATATTAATAAATAACTAATCGTAACACAGGAAAACGTTAAATTTGTTATGTTTGTACATAACTAGTTCGTCGTATTTTCCCCGATGCCTGTTTTCCTCAGTCAGCGTGTCCGATCCAGTGTTTCGCCTGCATCCATCCTATTTATTATTAATGACGAACGTCTGCAGCAGCACGAGAACATAATGAAACTCATTCAATTTGATCTCCTATTGCCTCTGAGAATTGCGGTTATCATAAATAATGGAGTTTCGAATAATTAAACACATGAAATTGATGATGATCTCGGAACGCACACGAATTGCTACGAATTGTAGGTAGTTAGTTTACTTAAGATGCTAGCAGGCCCGGTTACACAAAATTTCTAAGGGGGCCAAAGGTGCAAGTTGCCACCCCTATTTTTTTTAGTAAAATGAGAGGTAAATATAAAATTGAAGTAAAACAATTTATTTAAGTCTTACTAGACAAATTTTGTTCGCAAACTTTCAATTGCACATCCAAATCGCGCACGTTATTTGTGTTTCGCGTTGCAAGTAAAAACTAAAAAACTTTGGTTTAGTACTTGATTTCGATTTATTATTTCTTAGGGGTCATCCATTAATTACTTGAGGCAATTTTGGCGATTTTTCGACTCACCCCTCCCCTTGGTGAGATGTGAGATTTTGCTCGACCCCCTCCCCCCTTCCTTAATCTCACGTGAGATTTTTTAAATTGCATGGTTTTAATGTAAATAAGTTAATCTGTGATTGATTCCATTAGATTTATTAAAAAAAACAATTTTTATAATTGTTTACTTAATTTAACCCAGTTTTCTCGCAATTTTACACTGTTTCATTCGAAAAGAATAAATTACGTGATATTTGCCGACCCCCCCCCACGTGAGATTGGGTGAGGTTTGGCTCGACCCCCTCGAGGGATCCCTCCCCTAAACACCTCACGTAATTAATGGATGCCCCCTTATATCATTTATTAAGAAACTCAACGTTTATATTCTTATATAGTTACGTTAGTGTGTGTATTTTATCTAAGTTATCATGGTAAATTATTTTGTTTTTAATTGTAAATGTAATTCAAAAACTAAATCGTTGCATTTTCATGTTTTGCTAAAGGATCCAATTCGGTACGTATATTTGTTGGTGCAGAATTAACTAATGATAACTTTACCTAATATTATTCATATTTACATTTTAAGAAATCTAAAAAAAAAATAATAGTTGTACAAACATAACCTTAAAATCAAACATTTTTGTATTTGAATCCTCTAAAAAACGCCGACAACTTCATTTTGAAATAGTAAAAGACAAAATATATCTACGAATTCATGGCAACATATTATATATTAATAATAATATAAAACATAAGTAAAAGTGTAATTTAATAAAATACTTGTATACTAGTAAATGCGTACATCAACTGTTGGTTGGTTTTGTGTGCTAGGTTGGTTGGTTTTGTGGGTTGGGTTGGTTAGTTTCAGTTTTTGTACACTTTTGCTACCTTTGTGGCGTCAATGTAGGGAAAGGTGGGGGAATTCTGCGCATCTAAGCAAAATCTCTAGTATCTTTGTTAAGTTTAAATGTGAAATTTTGCAATTAAT